TAAGAAAATATGAAAATTTTGTTTTATTGCATAGCTACATCATGCACTGACATAGTATGAATATTAAAGAGGTTTAAGACCTTAGATGTTTCCATTTCTCTAGAAAATAGAGTTTTTATTGGGGTTAGTCTACTTAATATATGGTATATGAAGTTTAAATAAATTACTTAATAAAAAATTAGAAATGATGTCCATCTACCGTGAAAATAAGTTTACCATACATATAAAAAAGTTTTTTTGGGTGATTAGTTATTTTTAAATAACACTAAAGAGATTAAGTATTATAGATAGCATTTATCAGAAAATTCAGTATTTTCGTAGGGGTTAGCCCATATATTTCAAGAAAATAAGAAAATATGAAATTTTTGTATGGTAAGCCCATATAGGGGTTAGCCCATATATTTCAAAAAAAGATTGAATAAATGTTCTACATTAATGGATCAAAAAATCAATTACTATTTTAAGGCTCAAAAGTATTTAATATTTTAACAAAAGAAAATTATATATTATTAATCACTTATTTAAATCATGTACTTTATTACATGTTAATATTTTTTTATTTTAAATAACAATCACTCTGTATTGATAAATTTCAATGGTAACTTTTATAATAATTTATTTTTTATTTTTCTTAAAAAATTTACTGATTTAAGAAAATAAATGTAAAGCAAAACCAAAAACCAAATCTAAAAATTAAAATCCAAAACCAAAAGCTGAAAACACATGTTATATTTTTGGTTTTGTTTTGTTTATTTAAAAAATAAACTATTGCAATTGTTTAAATAAAAATTGTCATCTTTTCAGTTTAACTCAGCGGATCTAAAAGCTAAAAACCCAAACCAAAAGCTGAAAATCAAATCTAGAAACTTAAAAACCAAAAACCAAAATCTAAAACTAAAAACTGAAACTAAAAACTAATGCAAAGCAATCATCACCACAAATTTTGGATTACTGATTTTATACCAAAATATACTTTAAATAAAGACAAAACCTAATTATATAAACTTTTAATCAAAAAAATTTCTGCGCTTTCAAGCGCGGGTCAAAATCTAGTATATATTAAGAGGAAGACCAAACACGTAAGTACCAATGATGAATGTTTCAGATTCTGAGCTGGAGTAACCTAGGAATGGTGATATCTTTTGAACTGAAGATGTCTGCGAACTCGGAGATTGAACAGTCTCTATACTTGGGAGGGTTATCTTCAGAGAGGAGCTCTTTGATGGGTCTATATACACGAGGATTCGCCTTTTTGAACGTGGTGAAGAAACATGGCACTGAAACCCTCGCGTTTGAAGATCCATGCGCTATCACCCTATGCTCTGCGCTTATGAACCTGTCATTGGTTATGAACTGCACACAACAACAACAAGAAAAGAAACTTCATATAGTCTGAGTTAAACGAAGCTAACATGCCACAAAATTTGTATACTATAACCTGTAGAAGATCTCCAATGTTAATGACAAAAGACCCAGGGACAGGAGGAATATCAATCCAGGCTTGGTCATGGAGAACTTGAAGCCCTCCTATATTGTCTTGAAGAAGAACTGTGAGAAAAGAAAAATCACTGTGCTTGGTTATGCCTAAAGTAAGGTCAGGCTGAGGGCAAGGTGGGTAGTATTGGCCAGTCATCATTAAAGACTTGGCGCAATCCATTTCCTTAAGATGATTAGGGCTCAATCCCAAAGCCTCTGATAGAAGCTCAAAGATCAATTCACCTAAACTCATCACTTCCTTTGAGTATTCTAACATAACCTCCCTGCCACATCAATTTTTTTTCCATGCTTATTAGCATCACCGTTAATCCTCATTTCTAGCTATTCTCATAAGCAGTCTTTTCAACTATGGGGTGGAGCATGATAATTTCCATGCATGATTAATCAAACATGTAACGTAACAATGGACATAAAGAATTCAAACCATTTTTAATAATTAGGAAGTTTTAGGTTCGAAGATCCACATATCTAAAACGAGGTCCAAACCAATTTGGTGTAGTCTCTGTTGTAAAAATCGGACGTTTAGCGTTAGGTCTCATTTCCTTCAATTTATGTCAAATCGGTTTAAGAAATTGGATATTCGATTTTAGTCCGTCTAGATGATCGTCTAATTGACCGCATAATTGTCTAGATGGCTGACTAATTTATTTTTTTAATTTTAAAACCTTTTAAAAAAATTTAATTTATTTGATCTAAAATATTATAACTGCAATTTATTTGCATAATTTTGATGAAAACTATACCGTATTAAGTTTATATTTTGTGTGTTTATACATTTTAAATATGAAAACATATTAATTTTATAAAAACATAAAAATTAACATATTTTATAACATATTAAACAATCTGTCACTAGACTTCTACTAGGAATTATGCTGCCATTTAGCATAATTCTTAACAGAAGGTCTAGTGATTAAAATTAAGACCTTACCCAAAAACTGCGGGCAAGTCCTGAGATCGGGGAGGATCTGGAGCCGTATAACAAGCAATGGTATCTCTCCAACTGGCAGAGTCAGATTGGAAGAGATCGATGTTGGTGTAGTAGAAGAAGCTTCGAGAGTGATCACGTGAGTAGAACTGTTTCTTAACTTGCGAGGCTTGCTCGTGAAACCCACGTACCCCTCCAAGCATCCTCTCCTGGAGCTCGAGCGAGATCCCGTGGTTGGTCACTCGGAAGAAACCCCATTTCTCAGCCGCTTCTCTGGTCTGTTCCACCACGTTACGCCGCGTCATCAAATCTTGGTTCTTGTAGTGAACGCTTCCTCCCTTGAGATCGATGGTGGGGATCTTCATCTGCTGATGATGAGAAGCTTGTGATGCTTTCATGCTTGCTAAAATAGTCGGTGGTGCACGGAACATGGCTGGAATCTCTGTGATTCCTGAATCCACCAGACCTTTCACGCCCGTTTTCATCTCCTCGAAAGCTTTTCTTTCTTGAGAACGATCCATCGATTTCATTAATATTAAAAATGTTTATTTTTAAAAAACTTTCCTAGTGCTATGCAGAGATTTGCAGTTTCGTCTCAAACTCTCAATATATACTAGTCTGAATTTGTATCGTAAAAGAAGACGTGACCCAAAAATGAATTAACAATAAAGGAAAAAAAGGAGTTAAAAAAAAAGAATGAAAAGAGTAATCAACGAGGTTTCGTCTTTGTGCAAAAAAAAAAAAAACACTTGTTCCTACTCTTTTAATAATTTGTTAATGAATAATGTAGCAAAACACCAAAATAAGTTAATTAGTACGAGGATGGTCGTGACAAAAATAAATTAACAGTGAATTGTTAGATCGAGTTTTCGTCTTTGTAAACAACACCGAGTTTTCCTACTCTATATAATTAATAAATCAATAAAGTAGCAAACACCAAAGATAAATGAAATTGATAAAGTATGAGGAGCGTTATTAGGTAGAAACTTAAAGGTTAACTTTAACTTATTTAATAATGCAATTGAAAGCATGATTCACGAGAGAACATTACCCTTAATTATATATCTTATTATTTGGTCACCCAATCCAACAATTATCTAATAAGTAGCCTTGTAAGTGGTAATCATCGACAAAGTATGGTTGTTGGTTTTACAATTAATTTTTCCAATGAATGGAAACAAAATGTTCTCTTTTTTTTTTGTATGGTTGTTGGTTTTACAATTAATTTTTCCAATGAATGGAAACAAAATGGATTCTAGCTCCAAAATATACTTTCAGTTCTCTATATTCATGTCATTAATCAGTAGAATTCATTAGCTGGCATGATATTAAACAAAATACCAAAATAAAATTTTATACTCCATCCGTTTCTCTTTATATGTCATTTAAATTGTTTCACACATATTAAAAAAAATTATTAAATTTATTGTTTTACCTTTATTTTATACATTGATTTCATTGATTGTTTTATTTAATGAGCTACAAGAATAAGAATAAATTTAGAAAAATTAGCTAAAAATGTATTGAAAACATAAAACACACTTACAATGAAATAAGTTTAAAATTTAAAATGACAACTAATATAAAACAGATGGAGTATTTATTTTTCTCCGCCCGCCCAAGGAGCAGCGCATATAATTTAACATAAGAACAAATCACATGAAATAATTAACCTAATATTTTTCTTAAACTATAAATGATGCTGCTAATGGCTACCCACCTGATCTGACATAAATATATTTGTAAAACTTCTATTTGTGCCACCGTCCTGAAGCAGCATATCCGCGCGTCATGTAACCGAGTTGAGTTATTAACTAGTGAATAATTATTCGTAGTTAGTAATTAAATACATAAACAAAGTTAAAGTTGTCTATCTATGTGGTCTAGACGATAAGATGCTCATATTTTAAGCTGGCTTGGGCTTAGTTCTGGAACTCAGCCTTGAACTAGGCCTTATCATGTGCATGATAATTTCCAGGGCTGGATCTTTCCATTTACGTACAAAGATATAAATTCTTTATGAGAAAACGAATTATAATGAGGCTATAAGCTTCGATAAAGTGTACACTATTGTATTACATGATGGCTTGAAGATGAAATATACTGGTTTTCAAAGATTTTACAAACACGTTTGAAGGGAGAGGAATTAGTGTCGCGGTAAATATTATCGGATCGAGGAAGACCAAAAGTAACTAAGAGTTGGACTGAATATACCAATTGATGATGAATGTTTCAGATTCTGAGATGGAGTAACCTAGGAATGGTAATCTCTTTTGAACTGAAGATGTTTGAGAACTCGGTGATGGAACAGTCTCTATACTTGGGAGGGTTATCTTCTGAAAGAAGCTCTTTGATGGGTCCATATACACGAGGATTCGCCTTCTTGAACGTGGTAAAGAAACATGGCACTGAAACCCTCGCTTTTGAAGATCCATGCGCTATCACCCTATGCTCCGCGCTTATGAACCTGTCATTTGTTATGAACTGCACATAACAACAACAAGAAAAAGGAACTTCATATATATAGTCTGAATTAAATGAAGCTACATGTCACAAAATTTGTATATTATAACCTGTAGAAGATCTCCAATGTTAATGACAAAAGATCCAGGGACAGGAGGAACATCAATCCAGGCTTGGTCATGTAGAACTTGAAGCCCTCCAATATTGTCCTGAAGTAGAACGGTGAGAAAAGCAAAGTCGGAGTGCTTGCTTAAGCCTAAAGTAAGGTCAGGCTGAGGGCAAGGTGGGTAGTATTGGCCAGTCATCATTTGAGACTTGGCGCAGTCCATATCCTTGAGGTGATTAGGGTTCAATCCCAAAGCCTCTGATAGAAGCTCAAAGATCAATTCACCTAACCTCATCACTTCCTTTGAGTACTCCAACATAGTCTCCCTGCCACATCAAATGTTTCCATGCTTATTAGCATCATCTCTAATCCTCATTCCTCGCTATTTTCATACACAAGTCTTATAACTTTTTCAGGCGAATATTATTAATTAACATTCTACATTATTTGTTACTGAATAATACTATAATTTTTAAATCCAAGATTATTTAAAAAGAAAATATAGTATTCATCATTTTAATCAAATTTTGGAGAGAAGTCTTCCAAAATACGAGACCACTTTTGGAGTGAAGCTTTTCTAAGAACAAATATGGTATGAGTTAGACATGAAGCAGACATATCATAATAAGGGAAAAGTTAGACATAGTGCGTGACCAACCTCTGGCTCTGATAAAATGTTTGGATTAAGCATGTGGTCCGTCACAGCAATTTGTAAACTCAAGATTTTTAGAGAAAACTATAATGTCACGTAACAATGGACAGAACATTTCAGACCGTGTTGAAAACCAGACACAAGTGAAACCTTACCCGAAGACGGCAGGCAAGTCCTGAGATCGGGGAGGATCAGGGGCCGTATAGCAAATAATCGTATCTCTCCAACTGGCGGAAGCAGAGGTGAAGAGATCAACGTTGGTGTAGTAAAGAAAGTTTCGAGTGTGATCACGACAGTAGAACTGTTTTCTAACTTGTGGGTCTTGCTCGTGAAACCCACGAATCCCTCCAAGCATCTTCTCCTGCAACTCGAGCGAGATCCCGTGGTTGGTCACTCGGAAGAAACCCCATTTCTCAGCCGCTTCTCTGACCTGCTCCACCACGTCCCTCCTTGTCATCGAATCTTGGTTCTTGTACTTCACGCTTCCTCCCTTGAGATCGATGGTTGGGATCTTCACCTGCTGATGTGCTGCTTTCAAGCTTGCTAAAATAGTCGGAGGTGCACGAAACATGGGAGGAATCTCAGTGATTCCCGAATCCGCCAGGCCTTTCACGCCCATTTTCATCTCGTCGAACGCTTTTCTTTCATTAGAAAGATCAAACGACTCCATTAATATTCAATGTTTTTTATTTTTTGAAACTTTTCTAATGCTATGCGGAGATATGCACTTGCATCTCGAACTCTTATATACAAAAGATTTAACAATAAAGAACCAAAAGGAGTAATAAACGAGGTTTCGTCTTTGTCAAAATGAACAAACTAGTGTTCCTACTCATTTAATAATTTGTTGAGATCAATAATGTAGCAAAAAAAACACCAAAATAAGTTAATAAAGTATGGGGATGGTCATCTTTTATAGATTTTGATGATGCTATTCAAAGTAAACAGGCTGTACGCATCTCAAATTCTAAATACACAACTTGTCTTTTATATTGTAATACAAAACAAGTAGTGATGACTAAAATAAACTAACAATGAAAAATTAGAACGAGTAACAAACGAAACGAGTTTTCTTCTTTATAAAAAACAAACGAGTTCTGCTACTCTATATAACTAAATAATCAATAAAGTAGCAAACACCAAAAATAAATTGATAAGTATGAGGAGGGTTATCCATAAAAGGTAGGAACTTGAAGGCTAACTTTTACATGTTTAATAATGCAATTGAAAGCATGATTTACGAGAGAACATTACCCTTAATTATAAGTTATCTTATTTTTTGGTCACCCAATCCAATTATCTACCAAGTAGCCCTGCAAGTTGTAATCATTGACATTAAAAAAAATATATATTATCTAACTTTAACTAAAAAATATATAGAGAAAACATGCTATTTTGTGGCTTTTTTTCTTGTTGTTTTTATTTTTGTTTTTGTAAGGTTGTTTGGTTTCACAATAAATTTACGATGAGTGGAAAACAAAATGGATTTTAGCACCAAAATATACTTTAGTTCTTTTTAATCATGTCATTTAATCAGTAGATTTCATTACATGGCATGGTACTAAACAAAGTATCATAACCAAATTTCACTAACTTTTTGTTTCATTTTAAATGTTGTTTTAAAATTTTAATATTGTTTTAATTTAAATGATGCTTTTATATTTCTATTAAATTTTTTATTGTTTGATGTTTTGACCAATTGTATTTTATTAAATAACAGATTTATTTAATACAAAATAAATAAAATTAATATATAATTAATATTTGTGCAAAAACTTTAAACACCATCTAATATGAAATATAGCGAATATTATTTTTAGCTACGAATATAATTTAACAGCAGGGCAAGCACATGAAATAATTAACATAATAATTTTCTTAAACAATAAAGAGTAACTGATGCTGCTGATTGATACCCACCTGACCTGACATAAATATATTAGTAAAACTCCTACTTGTAGCCACCGTCCAGAAGCAGCATGTCCACACCGTCACGTAACAGAGTTGAGTTATTAATTAGTGAATAATTATTACTAGTAGTTAGTAAATAAATAAAGGGTTTATAGTGATTAAAACCTCCAACTATTTTTAAATCGGATAAAAAACCTCCAACTAAAATTTTATGTTTTTAAACCTCCAACTATTAAACCGTTAATGCCGTTAACCTTCCGTTATCAAAATCGTTTTTTCTTAACAGAAACCCGTTAAATCGAAACACCGCGTTTCATGTAATTTGAAAAACGACATAAGGTTCTTACTATCAATATATATTTTAGTGATTTAAACCTCCAACTATTTTTAAATCGGATAGAAAACCCCTAACAAATTTTTTTATATTTTTAAACCCTCAACTATTAAACCTTTAATGTTTTTAACCCTCTATAAACAAAGTCATATTTTCTGAACGGGAAACCTTAAATTGAAACACAGAGTTTCATGTAATCATATAAACATCATGAAATTTTTAAACCCCCTATATCAATGAGCAATGATAATCACAATTCATCCTCAAATAAAAAAATTGAATAGGAGAGAAATAATTAGGGTTGATTCCGTACTGTTAAGGTAGATAGGCTTTCAACCGAAAACCAATTGGTGATAAGTGGAGTGGCCCATCTATCTTATATACTAAATATAATCTCTTGCAACTTCTGATGTGGAACCTTTGTCCCTAATACGCCCCCTCGAGATGATGGCTCTTTGGCGTCAATCTCGGAATGTTCGGGCAAAGACCGATGGGCCGAATTTGGGCTGGATCGATAAAGATCGGGTTGGACTTTGTGGATCATGGACTCTGATACCATGTTAAGGTAGATGTGCTTCTAATCTAAAACCGATTGGTAATAAGTGGAGTGGCCCATATATCTTATATATTGCTTATAATCCCTTCCAACAAGCGATGTGGGACTTTTGTCCCTAATACACCCCTCGAGATGATGGCTCTTTGAGCGTCAATTTCGGAATGTTTGGACAATGATCGATGGGCCATTAAGATAAAATAGAGTAAAATAAATAGGTGAAAGACATAAGAAAATAAAAAGTGGAAAACAATACAAAATCCAGCACAACACATATTTCTCTGCATAAACCAAGAGAGAAAAATGAAACAATTTATTATGTTTCAACAGTAACTAGCGAAAACGCAAGTTGAAATTTTTTCACCTGATTGGCTAAATATTAGCTGGAGTCAAAGTAAATATGTTTTACACTTAAAATATATCGCCAGAAGTGCCATACAATCATAGCCTAAAATTAGAAACAATAGAATTTTCGGACTTACCTCACCTTCGATGAAAAGGAAAAAGAAATTTAATTTTTTTTATTTAAGGATGAATTGTAATTGTCATTTTCCATTGATATAGGGGGTTTAAAGTTTAAACATTTTATATCGTTTATATGAACATGAAACTCTGTGTTTCAATTTAACGGTTTCTCATTCAGAAAATATGACTTTGTTTACAGAGGGTTAAAAGCAATAAAGATTTAATAGTTGAGGGTTTAAAAATATAAAATTTTATGTTGGGGGTTTTCTATCCGATTTAAAAGTATTTGGAGGTTTAAATCCCTAAAATATATATTGATAGTAAGAACCTTATGTCGTTTTTGAAATTACATGAAACGCGGTGTTTCGATTTAACGGGTCTCCGTTAAGAAAAAACGATTTTGATAACGGAAGGTTAACGACATTAACGGTTTAATAGTTGGAGGTTTAAAAACATAAAATTTTAGTTGAAGGTTTTTTATCCGATTTAAAAATAGTTAGAGGTTTTAATCACTATAAACCCATAAATAAATAAATAAAGTTAAAGTTATCTATCTATCTATGTGGTCATTTAATTTTTCCAAAACCTCTTTAAGATTTAAAGTAAAAAAAAACAGTCAACGGAAGAACGGAAGGTGGTAATAATAAGCTTTGAGACTTTGAGTGCTCTGATCAGATTTGTCAGACTCATTCATCTCTCTCGCTCTGCATATCCAAAGGTACTTCCTCCATCTTTAGCTTCTCTTTTTAACTCGTACATATTATTTGTTCTTGGCTGTTGTTGTAAGATTAGAATCTCTGATTCAGATCCATCGAAGTTTTCTTTTCTCTGCTTTTTACACCCTTTTGTGTGTGTCTTGGCTTGGGTTCTTTGAGTAGCTCCAGGTCTTGTGTTGGTGACAGACTTGAGCCATGAACAACGTTGTTGCTCAGTTGCAGAGACAGTTTCACGACTACCTCGTTTCTCTTTATCAACAGGTTCTATCTCCTAACCAACACAATTCTACTGATTTACATTGAGTTGAGTTCCTTTTGTTGATTGTTGAAGTTTTACAGAAAAGTAGTTTCATTCAGGGTTTGTTTAGTCTACGCATTTGAAGTTGAAGGTTATTTTATAAGATGAATAGTATCTTTTGATCTGGCAGGGATTTTTGGATAATCAGTTCTCTGAGTTGAGAAAGCTACAAGATGATGGCACTCCTGATTTTGTAGCTGAGGTTGTCTCTCTATTCTTTGAAGACTGTTCCAAGCTTATTAATACCATGTCTAGATCACTGTAAGTCTTTAAGCATCTATGTTTTGCTCAAAAACTTTGTTTTCATTTCATGAGTTTATTTTATCACTTCAGGGAGCGGCCAGAAAATGTGGATTTCAAACAGGTTGATTCAGGTGTGCATCAACTCAAGGGTAGTAGCTCAAGGTGAACCTTACTTCATTAAAATTATGCAAGTCTTAGAATACCAAAATGGCTCATTCTCTAGCTTTTGTACACAGTGTTGGTGCAAGGAGGGTAAAAAACGTATGTATATCTTTCAAGGAATGTTGTGATGTTCAGAACCGTGAAGGGTGAGTTTTGTTTAAATCAAGTTACCACTTTCTCTATAGTGTATATAGTTTAGTTTGTTGATACAACAAGTTATTGTATCTGTTTATAATTTTCCTAAAACTTTAAACGCTGAAATTGTGATAATGTTAGGTGTATACGGTGTCTACAGCAGGTGGATTATGAATATAAGATGCTAAAGACCAAACTTCAGGATCTGTTCAATGTGAGTTCTTAGAACTTTTCCATAAACTCACTTGTTCTGTTCTCAAACCCTTTCTCTACATTTCATAGCTCTGTTTCTTTCATGTAATGTCGAGGCAGCTAGAGCAACAGATCCTCCAAGCTGGAGGTACGATTCCTCAGGTGGATATAAATTAGACTGGTGGTCTTCTTGATTTTTTCTGAATGTTCAAAGGCTTTTTATACATGATGAAACACATTCCTCGGTAGCATTTTCCCAGTTACATTATTCTTCGCCCTTATCTAAACGCTTGATTGAGTTGTAACAGTAAAAATGAAGTATAAGTTTTATTATTAGACATGTTCATATGTTAATGAAAATTTGGTTTATGTGTTTATTAATCAACAATGATTTTGTCTAGTAATGAACACTGCACCGTGTCTTTTGTGCACACTGTAAGTTATTGTTATGGGGCTTATAGGACATGATTGTGACAAAAGATTGAGAATAGATTGGTCATGTTTTGTTAGGTATGTATTAAATATATTATCCTAACCTCGAACTAGGAATTAATGTGAACATAAATTGAACGCATGGAGGCGTGTAACATTTTATATAGATGTTTTTTTTATCTTGTCATCATTTTATCCTATCATCTCTCTTACCCATCTCCATTTTTAGATTTATTATTTTTTCCCAACAAAGGTTTCTCGTTCATGTTTTAAGTTTCTTTATTAGGACCTAAAGACAACCGAAGCAGTTCAAAAGTCAGATAAAATCTTAATTTTGATTACAATTATTAGTTATAAATTACCGTGTTTGGTGAGTGGATTCGACCACAAACCAAACAAACACAGAGTCCCAAAACGAGTGTGTTATTTGTCTCGTGGTGGGCTAAGCGGAAACCTTTTGTGTTTTGTTCATTGTGATTGGAACTTATTGCTTTGGCTTTCTTGCAGAGCCAGCTCAGAAATTGTAAATTTGGTCCACTACCCGAGCTTCTTAGAATGTGTAATAAAACAAAGAAATGTTAATTATATGCACGGTTGGTATATTGGAATGATTAGCCTAGAAAAATCATTATTTTGAAGTATTATACAATTTACGATTATAATGTAGTTACGTTCACAATGTGTAGTTCACATCCATGAATACACATTTCCACCATCAAACCTAGAGATAAATTAGAAGATAACTAAAAAAAAACAAGGGAAAGAGTGTAGAGTTATCGATCTACGTTGATGCTAGCGTATGTAGTGAAACAAATGTTAAAATTTGGGGCAAGTGTTATAAATGTTGACCATCTCATGCATGTGTGTGTGTTGTTTAGACTTGTGGTCCAAGCTCCTTTTTGTTTTGCCTCGGTTCACACATTTTCTCATTTTACATGCATACAAACAACAAGTTTTGTGATAACCAAATGACTAAGAAATAGAGAAACAACATACATGTCACTTTGACCAGAAGAACAAAAACATACATGTCACTGGTTTTTACTTTATACCAAATTTACGTAAAAGTAATAAAAATTAAAATCAATCTCTGATGAGTTGTCCAACATTTTACCAACTATATTTCTTAACCCACACGAAATGGAAGGACCATTTGCCAGCGACCTTTGCCAAACTAATTATACAGTTGGTACTACCTCTTCTTACTGTCTATTTTTCTTTTCTTTTGCCTTTCAACTTATCCAAATATTTCATAACTTTTGTGCCTTTCTCATTTTTATTGTCATATAAATAGACTGATCTATTTGTTTTACTTCCGATTAAGAGACTACTTCCACTAACAAAAAGATTATATATTTTTAATCATATTATCATGTAGTTAAATTTGGATGCAGTAAACAAACCAGAAAAGTCATAATAGTTGATACATATTTACTTTAGTCGTTCGAACTAATAAATAAGGTCAACTTGGTACGTTAAAAGTCAGTAACTATCTATGATGAATACACTTTTGGTCTAAAGATTTGTTGGAACTGGATAGTACAGTGTTGAGCTTAGTTAGAACAGAACCGTTATTATAAAATGATTTTCCCCTTTCTGACTAAGCTTTCCATCTGTTACCTTGACCAATAACCAACCATATTTACTATAATAATAATAAGATACTACTTGTTTTATTATTAGTAAAAAAAAAATTACCGCTGTTTTGTTATATATTATACATCAGTACATCACTATAAAAATCAAAGTGTGTATTTTACCAAAAAAAAAAAAAATCAAAGTGTAGAAAAGCACGTCCTTGGATGTATATAAAGAGAGAAATAATCTATACTAATATAAGATAAAGTAATGATCGAACCATAAATCTGACGTGTCACGGATCTCTCACTTGTCCAAGCTGTGACTGGAGACTGTAAAACGCACACACAAGTCACGTGATGAGACCGAGCTTTGGTTACCAGACCTATCGATCTGTTATGTCCGAAGCTAAGACTCGGACAGCCGTTTTACATATTACCTGTTCCCCAGATAAAAACGCCATTTTCATGTATATTCACTGACACAACCCAAATGTTTAACCTTTTTCTTAATTTAGCATTATTACTCTTTTGTTTTCTTTTGTCAGATTTTATTATTTTCATTTTCATATCGTCTTCTACCACAAGTCACCACCAAAGAAAACAAAAAGCAGAGAAAAGAGGAAGAAGAAGACGAAGAATATTCATTTCACCTCTTGTTTTTGGCTTCCTTCTCAAGCCATTAAATCTTTTTTTCTCTTCTTTTGATAATCTTCTCAGCCATTAAAGCTTCCACGAGAACACCTCCACAACTTCACTTGCCTCTCACGAGAAAGCAGAAAACAAACCCACTTTACAGATTGTCTCTCTACTTCTATATATTATTACAGTCTCTCTGTTTCTTGAACCTCACTTACAAGAAGAAAGACAATGAGATTCACTCAGTTAATTTGGTCTTTGACACTTCTCCTTCACTTCAGATTCTTCACTGAGGCCATGCTCGACCCTGTTGACTTCTTAGCTCTCCAAGCGATTCGTAAATCTCTCCACGATCTCCCCGGTTCCAACTTCTTCCACTCATGGGACTTCACCTCTGACCCCTGCGGCTTCGCTGGCGTCTACTGTGACGGGGACAAAGTAATCTCCCTCAACCTCGGAGATCCCAGAGCCGGTTCACCCGGTTTATCCGGTAGAATCGACCCGGCTATAGGCAAACTCTCTGCTCTTACGGAGCTCTCCATCGTCCCGGGACGTATCATGGGAGCTTTACCAGCTACAATCTCTCAGCTCAAAAACCTCCGTTTCCTCGCAATCAGCAGAAACTTCATCTCCGGCGAGATTCCGGCGAGTCTCGGCGAAGTTCGCCGTCTCAGAACGCTTGATTTAAGCTACAATCAGTTAACCGGGTCTATCACTCCGTCGATTGGAACCTTACCGGAGCTAACCAATTTAATTCTCTGCCACAATCACTTAACCGGATCAATCCCTCCGTTTCTATCCCAATCACTAACCCGAATCGATCTCAAACGCAACAGCTTAACCGGTTCGATCTCTCCAGCGTCTCTCCCTCCCTCGCTGAAATATCTATCACTCGCTTGGAATCAGTTAACCGGACCGGTTGACAGAGTTTTACTCCGGTTAAACCAGCTTAACTACCTCGATTTAAGTTTAAACCGGTTAACCGGTACAATCCCCGGTCGAATCTTTGCCTTCCCAATCACAAACCTACAGTTACAACGCAACTTCTTCTACGGTTTGATTCAACCCGCGAATCAAGTAACCATCCCAACCGTCGATCTCAGCTACAACCGATTCTCCGGGGAGATATCTCCGCTTCTCTCGAGCGTCGAGAATCTTTACCTTAACAGCAATCGATTCACCGGAGAAGTACCGGCGAGCTTCGTGGAGAGGCTGTTGTCGGCGAGCATTCAGACGCTGTACCTGCAGCATAACTTCTTGACGGGGATACAGATTAGTCCGGCGGCGGAGATTCCGGTGAGTAGTTCGCTGTGTCTGCAGTATAACTGCATGGTTCCTCCGTTGCAGACGCCGTGTCCACTTAAGGCCGGCCCACAGAAGACTAGGCCCACTACACAATGCAACGAATGGCGCGGATAATTTCTATGATAATGTTATATTTTATATGTTTTTTTCTTCATTTTTTTTTTGTTATAGTTTTTGCTTTTTTGGGGGCACAGTGTCTCAATGTGTTGAAAAGAAAAAGGGGAAAAAGTGAAAGGATTCGTTTATTGGTTAAGGTGACTTCAGTGTGTAAAACTATCTTTGGAATAAAGATTATATTCATGTGACGATGAAGTTTATTGTCTTACCAATCTGTCTATTTTGCGTAATTAAAATTTGAAAATGATGGTGCAGTTTTATTGAATAGTGTTCAAAATCTGGTTCATGAACAAAATTGTAGATATAAACAAATAAATGAATAATCAGAAAATCATGGCTAACTACTGAATTTGTTTATAAATTTTGTTATAAGATATATGAAAGTAAAACAAAAAGAAATGATCATGATTAACAATTGAATGTAAAATGGTTAACAATCATAAGATTTATACAGGAAGCTTTCAACATAAACTACAAACTGCACTATTGTAATTTTAAAGAAAATAAAGGAGTGGAAGAGAACCTTTTGCAGCAAGTTACAGCCTATGTGAGAGTAACTGAGAGTTTCTGACCCACGTGAGAGTTGACTATTTTTTTCTTTCAAACTGGCAAAAGTTAATAACGACCAGCTACTCCAGTTTAATCTCATTTATGATCCATCCAAATCTTTAATGTCTAAACCGGTTTGTTTGTTAACCGTCCCGCCTACCTCTGAACTCTTGACAATGATGATCTTTCAGCTGTTTACAGGTTTGCTAGTACTATGTTGTTGTGTGCCGTTTTCTCTCTTGACCTCAACTTTCAACTTCTTACCGCTAATTTGGCGACCGTTCATCGTGTTAATGGCGTTTTGAGCAGCTTCTTGGGAGTCATAACTAATGAATCCTGTGGCAACAGAAAAAGATATCTTTCTAATTTCAACAGCTGATTCTTCTAATGAGAAAAGAAGGGTGTAAATGATATTATCTTACCAAAACATTTGCTTACACCAGTGGCCTTGTCTACAAAAACCTTTGCGCTTACTACTTTACCAAACGGTTGAAATGCAACCGCAAGTTCTTGATCCCCGAATTCCCGGGGTATGTTGTAGATAAATAGATTCGCACCTTCCGGTCCTGAACACCAAGAAATTGTTTAAGGTATCAGTCGCATAAGGAGTTACTTCAAGTTCATGTATGTTCTTGGTTAGGACTAAGCTAACCTTCAGTTTGAAGCGAGGAAGGTGTCCATGCGCCGCTGTTTGAAATTCCATGTGAAACAGTGGTTAGAGGAAGGCGAGGACTGATCATCCCACGAGCAAACGCCATTGGATACTGAAGACCATGATAGCTGTAATTTCCAAGAGGCATAGGGAAGTTTCTACGGGCAGCTAAACGCGGTGGAACAGACTCGGTCAAAGCGGCTCCTTGCGATGCATTATTGGAACCCTGGTTCGGTGAAACCACACTTTGAAATGCTGGTTGAGCCTGGATAGGTGGTAGCATGTACCCATAAGTTCCAGGTCCCTGTTATAAAGTAGATATTTTTAGGCTAGTATCACAGATTCACATAATAAAAGCTTTGAGAATGAAGATAATATTTTAGTAATTCAATGTGGTTGCTAGATTTCATGATGCATCTAAGAACGTGTACTAAGTAAATAAGAGAACTTACATGATAAGCCCTGTTCGGAGAATAGACGCTGCGACTACAGCAAATTAAACGACGCGGAGGATGTTGTTAGCTTAAAAAGCGTTGCCATAGCAGTGAAAAAAATCACCGGAATGAGACGCAACTGGCGCGCGACTGACGCTGAAATTTTAAGCGATCAGTTATCGTTCGGAAACTGCCGCTGCTTCTATTGTTATTAACTCAGCGTGTCATTATATTCCGATCTCTTGTTCGTACAGCATCAGAAATAGAGAGCTAAAAAGAGACTCTGACGCTAGACGCAGCGTTTACCAAAAGAACAGGGCTATGATAGCCATATCCATTATATGAAGAAACATAACTCATTGGTAAGGCTCCAAACAGAGAAGGGTTCTGTAGACCAAAGTTAGCGAGTCTGGAAGCATGAGATTGAGCTTTCTGAAGTCTTCGGGCTTGTCTTTCCCTTTCTGTGTCTGCCCATTTAACAACCAAAGGAACATTCGAACCCTAACAGAAACAAAAGAAAAATATATTGTCACTCTCTATATAAATCTTTATAAAGTAATAAAAATGTCCAAAGTTGTTGAATAGGCACACACCTCGATTATATATTTTCCGTTAGTAGCCTCGATAGCAGCGACAGCTTGTTCTTTAGTCTCATACTTCAGAAAAACACAACCTAAGAAAAAATCAAAATGAGCTTAAAAGTTAGTCAAAACATTGCTATATTATATATAAATATAGCTTAGTTAAGCCGGCACAATGAAATGATGGGTACACCTTTGGTAGTTTGTAGAGACCCTCTTAGAATCTGCACATCCTTTATGGTTCCGTATTTGGAGAATAAGGATAAGACTTCAGCTTCAGAGACATTCTTTGGAAGCATCCCAACGAAAAGTTTGTGCTCTGGATTGCACGAAAATTTTCTTAAAACGCCGAAGATTTTCAAAAATAACAAATCCTTTTTATGCATTTATGTTTATTGTAAGCAGGTTCCGTACCTAGTCTTTCAACCTCGCCATCTGCATACTTAACTTGCAACGGACTAGACGCCTGAAAAGAGCATTACGTTAATTATAATCCCAGAGAGACAAAAGGTTATATATAACGGATAAAGATCACAATGTTTCACACACAAGCCAGAGGATAGATCCAATGAATCAATATGCTTACTTGGGTTTGAAGAAAAGATCTAGAAATCACTTTTAAACCTCATGTCATCAGATTCCAACAACCAGTGCTAATGTAGTACAACAACATGCAGAACTCTGAACTAACCAAATCCGGAACCAACAGGGATAAAAAGTAAAATGCAGATCGAGAGACAAAAAAGGGATTAAAAAAAAAGAAGAAAAAAATCAATCTCGAGATTCAAACCGGCTTGATAAATGTGCAACTAAAAAGATCAATTATTCCAAGGTACTGAAAACATCACATTGGATCATAAGAAAAAAATTAAGAGAAAATCAAGAAAACAGGAAAATGGAAATTAAAAAGATGAAATGCCAGAAACTAAACTCACCCCAGGCAATGTCATCTTGTTATGACAATCATTGACCACCTTGTCTGCTTCTTCTCTTGAAGGACATATCAGAAAACAACATCCTAGGGTTTCCAGAAATCAAAGAGAAACTTATCTTTAAGAGAAAAATTCAAAAATTAAAACGAAGAAGACGGAGAAAACAGAGGAAGAAATTATAAAACAGAAAAACCTCGGGAAGCTCGCGTTATCTTGTCTTTAATGATGTTGACTTCGTTGACGATGGAGAAATCCTGGAACAATGCGAGAAGCTCATCCTCCGTCATGTTCTTGGGAACTTGTCCGACGAACAGCTTCACCCTCTCTTCATTCTCCTTCGTCTCCTCCGCCATTTGTTCTTCTCTCTCTATTGACTTCGTCGTCTTCTTCTTCTCTCTACAGCTTTCTTTCTATTTTTTTTTTAATTGCGCGTGATTTCGTCTTTCTGGATGGCAAAGTTGGGATTAGACTAAATATGGGCAACGTTGGTATTAGTAAATTATTAAAACCAGCTGTACAAAGAGGAAGGCAAGCCTGTATGATGCAAAGGAACACTTAGGATTGTTTTGTCTGATTAAGGGCTCGTAATTTGGATTTTACGTAACTATCCTTTCATTTACCCGCGTTTTATATTCTGTTATTTATTTTAAATATAAACTAGATTCTGACCCGCGCAACCGCGCGGATGTTTGTTTTCGTTTATAGTTAGTTATATAAACATTTTGTTTTCACTTGTAAATTAGTATATATTATAGTAATCACATATTTACGATATGTATAGTAAATATTTTTCAAACATAATAATATTATATAATACGTGTTTTAATCAAATAGATTGTTTCAAATTTTCTATATTATACATGTTTTTNTTTTTTTAAAATAATTTCTTTTTTGTAAAAAAATATATAATTTTAAAAATTTACATTGAAATAAATTTATCTAGTATATATAGTGTGTAAATTTTGTTACGGTATACAAATATTTCATATTACGAATCTGTGATTTTTGTTAATATATGATGGATCCATTTAACTATTATTGACATATTTCCTTATAAATAACAGAAGAATCCTAAACTTATATCTATTGACATATTTTGTGTGACTAATTTAGAAAGTGTGGGGTAATTTACCTAAACCAAATTGTTAAACGTATCTTTGTTATTATACATATGATTTTTCATAAGATATAATAATAATAAGATTATTAGAGAGTTAATGTAACATGAATTTTTAGTAATAGTCCATTTTTTAAAAAATCACACATGAATTCAAGTTATGACTTCTGTTTTAATATATAAGATACTTTAATCTACTTTTGCATGGAACCATGGAGTGAGAAATAAGCTGTCAAAGTTATTAACGTGAAAGATGACAGACTGTCCTCCACCAATTCGCCAAAGTCTACAACGGCAAAATCAACTTGATTTGATTAAGTTCTTTTAGATTACATTGAATTTCGCGAAAAAGACTAATGACTTTTGATGTAGCGGAAGCTTCTAGGGATAGAACTAGATCCGTTGATTCTAAGAATATCCGGATACTAGGGTTTGTGAATACTCTTCACAGTGCTTAATTAAAAGCTCTTAGGGTTTGAGAATACTCTTCTCAGTGGTTTATAGAAACCTCTTTAAGAACAGACTTTTATTTATCAAATCATCATAAAAACTGTTTAATACAACTCTAGGCATAGAAGCTTATTTATATGAAAACACAAAAGCCATAAAACCCTAATCTTAATTGAAATAGGAAAACTATTAAAATCTTAAATATTCTTTATAATTAAGATAAATATAAAAATAACTGATAAACTAAATAATTAAGATATTTGGATATATTCCAAATATCTATCTCCATCAACTTTATTCAACTTTACGTTTTGACCCCACATGTTTTCCGTGTATGTGCATGTGTGCGAATTAGTCCTTTGCTAATAGCGTTTTTAAGACGTAACTAGTCTTAAGACACTTGCAGTTGCAGCTCAATTTGGAAGTATGTTTTAAAAGGGATATTATTTGAACTAGTCACTAATAACTAAGAAGTAATAGAGCTATTTGAGAAGAAAACAAAAACTAACCATCGCCACTCAAAATTAGCACTAAAATAAACTCCACTATGATTAATGTAAGAAGATGTTAATGATTTATATTGTCTCCTTATGAAACCGTCGATAAGACGTACATAATGAATTTGCCTGACATATCAAATAAAGAACTTATTATAATACAAAATATACTAATAGCCGTTAGATCAATGTATATCCCAATCTCAGTAACGTGCTTTTATAGAATAATGTTAAATCAATCGACATACAATAGTCTACACACTAGTCTCTTTTCATTTTGTTACTTTCTCTAAAACAATTATTCTGTAGGCCGGATGCTAGTAGCTAATCTTAACTTCTCAACTGAATCTGCACCATTGGAAAACAGAGTAACTTAGCGTTTAAAACATGATTTTTGGAGATTTTTAGTTCTTAACCGAATTAAAAAATCGTCTCTTAATTTTGAACCTAAAAAAAACTAAGAATTAATTTTTAAATAAAAGTTTTAAGAACCAATTTTTAGTTGTTTTTGTTAAAAATTAAGAGATATTTCTTAATCCTGATAAGAACCCCATCTATGAAAAACTTCCAATAATCATATTCTTATATATCCTCCAGAGTCAAAAGTATGAAGTCAAGATCAAATTACAAGTTGCTGTCATATTGCTCCTTTCTTTGGTTCTTCAGGGTTGGTCTTATATCATATATCTTGGACAAGACCGCATTTATTTTAAAAATTTATGCATGTAATATAGAACATTATCCAAATCTAAACAACAATGGTCAAGACTTTTAAACAAACTTACTGTAATCATTTAGTACACACATGGAAAAAGAATTCGCAAAATAAAAGAACAAAAAAATGATTCCCAAACGAAAGAACAAATAAATAAGCAAAGTAAAAACTACATCAAATGTAAAACAGACATGCATGGACTTAGCTATAAGTATAATCTTACGAGGCCTTACATTTAACTACTTAAGTATACCCTACATGTCACAAGAGTACAAAGATATTTAGTGAAAAGCTGCTCAGATTCTCTTCTTAAGACCTCTCTGTTTTTTCATTAAAGAGTCATGAGCTCTCTGGAAGTAGTAGACTCTGTCTTTGGGGCGACCCAGTTGCCTACTACTCTCCCAAACAACCCTTCAAGCTTCTTAAACTCGAATGGCTTCCACATCTTTCTCTGAGAAACATCATCACTTTCCTTGTTATGCTTTGCAACAACGTTAGAAACACATCTCTTGAGCTCTGAGTTCTCTTCTTTAAGCATTTGAATCGCTAAACTCATCTGCCTTATAGCTTCTCTCTTCTCTTCATCTTTCTCTCTAACCATCTCACCGTAAACCTTATTCTCCTCCCTCAGCCTCTCTATCTCCACCTTCATCATCTCACAATCTCCACCATCAATCTCACCTTCATCGACCCATTTTTCTTCACCGTCATCAACTTCAGACTCAGCGTAGTACTCGTCATGAGTCTCACAAGCCTCAGACCAAGAAGACACATCGCAAGTTGATGAAGACTTCTCATGATGACTGTGTCTGCTGTGCACAGAGGAAGGTCTCAACAAGTCGTACCTCTCGGCTAAAGAGCGATGCGAACGGTAGAAATCTTGAACCATAGTAACAAGCTCAGGCCTTTTCTTGTAATACATCTCAGCTCTTGCTGCGAAAGAATCAGCATCCTCATCAATCACTCTCAGCATATCCTCTGTCTTCTCATCCAACTCTTCAAAATTACAATTAAAAGGTAAAAAGTCAAAATTGAGGAAATAGATGTTTTTTTAAACTCTTATCAGTAAAATAAATAAAGTTACCGGAGAGAGTAGAATGAAGCCATGGAGAGAAGTTAGAGGTGTTGTGGTTTCCAATCCACCACCATTTTGATGACTCCATCACCATCTTTCCCTCTTCTTCAAAACCTTAACTCCACTCAAAATACAGACAAAACGAAAAACACAGAGATTCTTTAGTTTACAAAGCTTTCACTCACTCTTTGATTAGTTTCATCCTTAAGAAAGACAACAACAGAAGAAAGGAGAAAACTCTGAAATTACCAACCTCTGTGACGGATTCCTGTTACACGGCGTGACGAACAAACCGTTTCTTTCCTCCTTCTTCTTCTTCTTCTCCGCCCTTGTCGGTTTTTGTAGTCACAGAGAGAGAGAGATGACAGTTTTGAAGACATGTATTCTTATTTATTGGTCTGTTATCCTTAAGCATCACTCCCTAACCAATAGCATGTTGCCATCTGTAGTGATTAAAGAAACACACTGCTTCTTGCAATTTACATAGATACCCCTGGAGATCTAAGCGGCAGATGACATGGCAGTATTAACACTGTTTATATCACTCAATGACGTTTTCACCCCTCTTCGAGTTTGGATTTGTATATGTAATATGAAACTACTAGGAGGGTAGCTTTGGAATTATATCTAGTTGATAGGGACGATATTTATTTTAATGGGCCCTACGAGTCCATGTGGGCCGTGACGAGCGTTACACGCTAAAGGTGTTTGTGCAACGGTCGAAAAACTCTTTGCCACAACTTTACATGCTTGTTAGTGTAAACTGTAAAGTTTAGGACAAAACAATAAAATAAAACAAAAATTGATGAATATCATTGTTTTGTTCTTTCTCCTAATAATAAGACAATTCAATCTTTTATTTTCCTTGTTAACAGGTTTGTAAAGATGTATGTTAATGGTGGTAACTAATCCTGCTTTTAAATAGCTGTTATTCACTTTCCATGCCTTTATAGTGTGTAAAGAATAGAACCAAACAAGGAAAAAGAAATAACAATGCTCGACAAAGTGAAATTCTGTTTCTTAATGGTGATTAGATTTTGACCTGAAGTAAGCATTATCATGACCTAAGCTTCATAGCATTTATCGGAAAATTCGGTATTTTCGTAAGGGTTAGCCCACATATTTCAAAAAAAAGTAAGAAAATATGAAAATTTTGTTTTATTGTATAGCTACATCATGCACTGACATAGTATGAATATTAAAGAGGTTTAAGACTTTAAATGTTTCTATTTCTTTAGAAAATAGAGATTTTATAGGGGTTATTCCACTTATTAGGTGTTATATAAAGTTTAAGTAAATTAGTTAATAAAAAATTAGAAATGATGCACATCTACCATGAAAATAAGTTTACCATACATATAAAAAGGTTTTTTATGTGATTAGTTATTTGTAAATAACACTAAAGAGATTAAATATTATAGATAGCATATATCATAAAATTCAGTATTTTCGTAGGGGTTAGCCCACATATTTCAAAAAATAAGAAAAAATGATTTTTTTTTGTTTTATTGCATAGCTACATCATGCACTGACATAGTATTAATATTACAGAGGTTTAAGACCTTAGATGTTTTCATTTCTCTAGAAAATATAGTTTTTATAAGGGTTAGTCTACTTAATAGATGGTATATGAAGTTTAAATAAATTACTTAATAAAAATTAGAAATGATGCCCATCTACCATGAAAATAAGTTTACCATACATATAAAAAAGTTTTTTTGTGTGATTAGTTATTTGTAAATAACACTAAAGATATTAAATGTTATAGATAGCATATATCAGAAAATTCAGTATTTTCGTAGGGGTTAGCCCACATATTTCAAAAAAATAAGAAAAAAAGAAATTTTTGTTTTATTGCATAGCTACATCATGCACTGACATAGTATGAATATTAAAGAGGTTTAATACCTTAGATGTTTTCATTTCTCTAGAAAGTAGAGTTTTTATAAGGGTTAGTCTACTTAATAGATGGTATATGAAGCTTAAATAAATTACTTAATAAAAATTAGAAATGATGCCCATCTACCATGAAAATAAGTTTATCATACATATAAATACGTTTTGGTGTGATTAGTTAATTGTAAATAAAACTAAAGAGATTAAATATTAAAAATGGCATTTATCAGAAAATTCAGTATTTTCGTAGGGGTTAACCAATATATTTCAAGAAAAATAAAAAATATGAAAATTTTGTTTTATTGCATAGCTACATCATGCACTGACATAGTATGAATATTAAATAGGTTTAAGACCTTAGATGGTTCCATTTCTTTAGAAAATAGAGATTTTATAGGGGTTATTCCACTTATTAGGTGTTATATGAAGTTTAAGTAAATTACTTAATAAAAAATTAGAAATGATGCCCATCTACCATGAAAATAAGTTTACCATACATATAAAAAAGTTTTTTTGGTGTGATTAGTTAATTGTAAATAACACTAAAGAGATTAAATATTACAAATAGCATTTATTAGAAAATTCAGTATTTTCGTAGGGGTTAACGCACATATTTCAAGAAAAATAAGAAAATATGAATATTTTGTTTTGTTGCATAGCTACATCATGCACTGACATAGTATGAATATTAAAGAGGTTTAAGACCTTAGATGTTTCCATTTCTTTAGAAAATAGAGATTTTATAGGGGTTATTCCACTGATTATGTGTTATATGAAGTTTAAGTAAATTACTTAATAAACAATTAGAAATAATGCCCATCTACCATGAAAATACGTTTACCATACATATAAAAAGGTTTTTTTTGTGTGATTAGTTATTTGTAAATAACACTAAAGAGATTAAATATTACAGATAGCTTATATCAGAAAATTCAGTATTTCCGTAGGGGTTAGCCCACATGTTTCAAGAAAAATAAGAAAAAATGAAAATTTTGTTTTATTGCATAGCTACATCATGAACTGACATAGTATGAATATTTAAGAGGTTTAAGACCTTATATGTTTTCATTTCTCTATAAAATAGAGTTTTTATAAAGGTTAGTCTACTTAATAGATGGTATATGAAGTTTAAATAAATTACTTAATAAAAATTAGAAATGATGCTCATCTACCATGAAAATAAGTTTAACATACATATAAATACTTTTTGGTGTGATTAGTTAATTTTAAATAAAACTAAAGAGATTAAAAATTACAAATAGCATTTATCAGAAAATTCAGTATTTTCGTAAGGGTTAGCCCACATATTTCAAGAAAAATAAGAAAATATGAAAATTTTATTTTATTGCATAGCTACATCATGCACTGACATAGTATGAATATTAAAGAGGTTTAAGACCTTAGATGTTTTCATTTCTCTAGAAAATAGAGTTTTTATAAGGGTTAGTCTACTTAATAGATGGTATATGAAGTTTAAATAAATTACTTAATAAAAAATAGAAATAATGCCCATCTACCATGAAAATAATTTTACCATACATATAAATACGTTTTAGTGTGATTAGTTAATTGTAAAAAAAACTAAAGAGATTAAATATTACAAATAACATTTATCAGAAAATTCAATATTTTCGTAGGGGTTAGCCCACATATTTTAAGAAAAATAAGAAAATATGAAAATTTTGTTTTATTGCATAGCTACATCATGCACTGACATAGTATGAATATTAAAGAGGTTTAAGACCTTAGATGTTTTCATTTCTCTAGAAAATAGAGTTTTTATAAGGGTTAGTCTACTTAATAGATGATATATGAAGTTTAAATAAATTACTTAATAAAAATTAGAAATGATGCTCATCTACCATGAAAATAAGTTTAACATACATATAAATACGTTTTGGTGTGATTAGTTAATTTTAAATAAAACTAAAGAGATTAAATATTACAAATAGCATTTATCAGAAAATTTAGTATTTTCGTAGGGGTTAGCCCACATATTTCAAGAAAAATAAGAAAAAATGAAAATTTTATTTATTGCATAGCTACATCATGCACTGACATAGTATGAATATTAAAGAGGTTTAAGACCTTATATGTTTTCATTTCTCTAGAAAATAGTGTTTTTATAAGGGTTAGTCAATAGACGGTATATGAAGTTTAAATAAATTACTTAATAAAAATTAGAAATGATGCCCATTTACCATGAAAATAAGTTTACTATACATATAAATACATTTTGGTGTGATTAATCAATTGTAAATAAAACTAAAGAGATTAAATATTACAAATAGCATTTATCAGAAAATTCAGTATTTTCGTAGGGGTTAGCCCACATATTTCAAGAAAAATAAGAAAATATGAAAATTTTATTATATTGCATAGCTACATCATGCACTGTCATAGTATGAATACTAAAGAGGTTTAAGACCTTAGATATTTCCATTTCTTTAGAAAATAGAGATTTTATAGGGGTTATTCCACTTATTAGGTGTTATATGAAGTTTAAGTAAACTACATAATAAAAAATTAGAAATGATGCCCATCTACCATGAAAATAAGTTTACCATACATATAAAAAGGTTTTTTTTTGTGATTATTTATTTGTAAATAACATTAAAGAGATTAAATATTACAGATAGATTATATCAGAAAAATTCAGTATTTCCGTAGGGGTTAGCCCACATATTTCAAGAAAAATAAGAAAAAATGAAAATTTTGTTTTATTGCATAGCTACATCATGCACTGACATAGTATGAATATTAAAGAGGTTTAAGACCTTAGATATTTCCATTTCTTTAGAAAATAGAGATTTTGTAGGGGTTATTCCACTTATTAGGTGTTATATGAAATTTAACTAAACTACATAATAAAAAATTAGAAATGATGCCCATCTACCATGAAAATAAGTTTACCATACATATAAAAGTTTTTTTTTTGTGATTATTTATTCGTAAATAACACTAAAGAGATTAAATATTACAGATAGCTTATATCAGAAAATTCAGTATTTCTGTAGGGGTTAGCCCACATGTTTCAAGAAAAATAAGAAAAAAAGAAATTTTTGTTTTATTGCATAGCTACATCATGCACTGACATAGTAAGAATATTAAAGAGGTTTAAGACCTTATATGTTTTCATTTCTCTATAAAATAGAGTTTTTATAAGGGTTAGTCTACTTAATAGATGGTATATGAAGTTTAAATAAATTACTTAATAAAAATTAAAAATGATGGTCATCTACCATGAAAATAAGTTTAACATACATATAAATACGTTTTGGTGTGATTAGTTAATTTTAAATAAAACTAAAGAGATTAAATATTACAAATAGCATTTATCAGAAAATTCAGTATTTTCGTAGGGGTTAGCCCACATATTTCAAGAAAAATAAGAATATATGAAAATTTTATTTTATTGCATAGCTACATCATGCACTGACATAGTATGAATATTAAAGAGATTTAAGACCATAGATATTTCCATTTCTTTAGAAAATAGAGATTTTATAGGGGTTATTCCACTTATTAGGTGTTATATAAAGTTTAAGTAAACAACTGAATAAAAAATTTGAAATGATAACCATCTACCATGAAAATAAGTTTACCATACATATAAAAATGGTTTTTTTGTGTGATTATTTATTTGTAAATAACACTAAAGAGATTAAATATTATAGATAGCATATATCAGAAAATTCAGTATTTTCGTAGGGGTTACCCCACATATTTCAAGAAAAATAAGTAAAAACGAAAATTTTGTTTTATTGCATAGCTACATCATGCACTGACATAGTATGAATATTAAAGAGGTTTAAGACCTTATATGTTTTCATTTCTCTATAAAATAGAGTTTTTATAAGGGTTAGTCTACTTAATAGATGGTATATGAAGTTTAAACAAATTACTTAATAAAAATTAGAAATGATGCTCATCTACCATGAAAATAAGTTTACCATACATATAAATACGTTTTGGTGTGATTAGTTAATTTTAAATAAAACTAAAGAGATTAAATATTACAAATAATAGCATTTATCAGAAAATTCAGTATTTTCGTAGGGATTAGCCCACATATTTCAAGAAAAATAAGAAAATATGAAAAATTTATTTTATTGCATAGCTACATTATGCACTGACATAGTATGAATATTAAAGAGGTTTAAGACCTTAGATGTTTCCATTTCTTTAGAAAACATAGATTTTATAGGGGTTATTCCACTTATTAGGTGTTATATGAAGTTTAAGTAAACTACATAATAAAAAATTAGAAATGATGCCCATCTACCATGAAAATAAGTTTACCATACATATACAAAGGTTTTTTTGTGATTATTTATTTGTAAATAACACTAAAGAGATTAAATATTACAGATAGATTATATCAGAAAATTCAGTATTTCCGTAGGGGTTAGCCCACATATTTCAAGAAAAATAAGAAAAAATGAAAATTTTGTTTTATTGCATAGCTACATCATGCACTGACATAGTATGAATATTAAAGAGGTTTAAGACCTTATATGTTTTCATTTCTCTATAAATTAGAGTTTTTATAAGGGTTAGTCTACTTAATAGATGGTATATGAAGTTTAAATAAATTACTTAATAAAAAATTAGAAATGATGCTCATCTACCATGAAAATAAGTTTAACATACATATAAATACGTTTTGGTGTGATTAGTTAATTTTAAATAAAACTAAAGAGATTAAATATTACAAATAGCATTTATCAGAAAATTCAGTATTTTCGTAGGGGTTATCCCACATATTTCAAGAAAAATAAGAAAATATGAAAATTTTGTTTTATTGCATAGCTACATCATGCACTGACATAGTAAGAATATTAAAGNCAGAAAATTCAGTATTTTCGTAGGGGTTATCCCACATATTTCAAGAAAAATAAGAAAATATGAAAATTTTGTTTTATTGCATAGCTACATCATGCACTGACATAGTAAGAATATTAAAGAGGTTTAAGACCTTAGATGTTTCCATTTCTTTAAAAAACATAGATTTTATAGGGGTTATTCCACTTATTATGTGTTATATGAAGTTTAAGTAAACTACATAATAAAAAATTAGAAATGATGCCCATATACCATGAAAATAAGTTTACCATACATATAAAAAGGTTTTTTTTGTGATTATTTATTCGTAAATAACACTAAAGAGATTAAATATTACAGATAGCTTATATCAGAAAATTCAGTATTTCCGTAGGGGTTAGCCCACATGTTTCAAGAAAAATAAGAAAAAATGAAATTTTTGTTTTATTGCATAGCTACATCATGCACTGACATAGTATGATATTAAAGAGGTTTAAGACCTTATATGTTTTCATTTCTCTATAAAATAGAGTTTTTATATGGGAATTTGCCTAATCTACCACTTTCAAAGTACCATATTTCACTTTTACCTTAACCAATTTTACCACTAAAAATTTGATAGGCAAAATACCATTCTACCCCTCCATAATTCAATTGTCAAACCTATATTTTTTTCTCCAAATCCGTCTGATGATATCACCGGCGATATCTCGAAGCTATGGAGGACGAGATTGGGATCGAAAACGATCGGAGTTCCGGAGATCCGAGCAACGAGGCGTTGAGATCAGGATTAGCCGATACTCGAGCTTCAAGATTGAATCGTAGTCATAGTTCTTTAAAAGGTGAAGAGATGTGGACGAAGCTTGTCTCTGATCCTACGACGAGTAGCTTTCTGAAACAGCCTGATTACGTGAAGATGATGGAGGAGATTCAGAAGAACCCTAGCGGTAATCTCAATTCTTACGTGAAGGATCAGAGAGTGATGAAATCTGTTGGAGTTGTGTTGAATCTTAATCTCAGAGGAGACAAGTCTGAGGTTGAGAAGAAACAAGAGATGAAGGAGAGAGCCGAATCAGAGAAAGAGTTAGGGAACGCTGCGTTCAAGAAGAGACACTTCGAAGCTGCGATTCAGCATTACTCTAATGCCATGGAGTTTGATGATGAAGACATCTCTTGTATCACGAACCGTGCGGATGTTTATCTTCAAATGGAAAGGTATTAATCTTTTTAATCAGTTAGGGTTAAGGAATAATAATCAATGTCGTTTGGTTGATTGGTTTCAGTACAAAGAGTGTATTGAGGATTGTAACAAGGCGGTTAAGAGAGGTAGAGAGCTTGGATCAGATTGCGAGATGGTAGCTAGAGCTTTGACTAGAAAGGGAACTGTTTTTGTCAAAATGGCGAAATGCTCTAAAGACTATGAACCTGCTATTGAAGCTTATCAAAGAGCTCTTACAGTGCATCGTAATCATGAAACGTTGAGTAAGCTGCACCAAGCTGAAAGAGCAAAGAAAGAATGGGAGAGGCAGGAGTATATTGATCCCAAGATTGGTGATGAAGAGCGTGAGAAAGGTTATTTCTTTTGCAAAGTAGTCTTGTGTTGTGTGAGCACAAAAACTGATAAAGAGTGGTTTGTAATGCAGGTGATGAAGTTGCAGTTTTTTCCTCTGTACAAGACTGGATTCTATGGATGAGATCACGTAGGGAATTTCACTTTAATTCGATACAGCTGCGATGTTTATTAGTCTAAATCTTGTGAAGAGGTTTATGTTTGTGAGTGGTCCGTAGTTGGTTCAGACATAAACAACATTCACATGTTTTATGTTAGTTCATAACAGCTTTAAGGACTTGGACTCATGTCTTTTATGTTATGACCTTTTATCAGCTAACTGATACTCTTCTTGTCCTGTCGTTGATTTGTAGACTATTCGAGTTCCTATCAGAGAATTCAGTTAATTTCCCCGTCATTCACCACATTAACTTCCCAACAGGGATTCACAGGTAAGATAGCGACTGCTTTTTATTATAGGGAAGGTATGCTAACAGACCGATAGTGGAGCTCGAGATTGCTGCTAAGGAGCAAATGAAAATCACAGAGCTCCCGATGGCAAAGCTCTTCTCCGAGAAGGCTAAAGTTGTTTCACAAACTGAGTCAACAAAACCTCAAGGTATTGCTTGTGGTAGGTTTGAATCTCCTTTGGAATACTTGTGTTATGTGTGATCTTTGTCTATTTTCTTTCTTAGTTTAGAAGATCGTTTGAGAATCATAGGAGGGCATTTGAATGTTGCAGAAGCTGCTCCCAAGAGAAGTAGGCCACCCATCACCACTCATGTCTTAGACGTCTCACGTGATGCTCCAGCTGTAGGTGTTGAAGTGCATTTGGAAGTGTGGAATGGTACTACCAGTCCTTCCTTTGGCTATGGAGGTCGTGGTGGGGACTACTGGTCCATGGTGGGTACTTCAGCTACTGATAAAGATGGGCGTAGTGGGCAACTGATGGATTTGGTCGAGACGTTGAAACCAGGGATGTATAGAATAAGCTTCAACACTGGAAAGTATTGCCCAAGAGGCTTCTTCCCTTATGTTTCCATTGCATTTGAGGTCACAGAATCTCAGAAATGGGAGCATTTCCACGCCCGCTGTTACTTTCACCATTTTCTTTCACCACATACCGTGGGAGCTAGAGCTGCTGCTGCAGTCTTCAATACATTTGGTGGTTTACTGTTATGTATCAAAATTGCTATAAAAATAAAAATCTGTATTTGTGTATTTATTTGGGGTTTGTGAAACTAGTAGAACAATATGCAGCGTTTGCACCTCTAAAGACTTGCATTTGACCTCAATTTTTCCTCTTATTTGGTTTCTGAGTTTCTTAAACATTCCTCTGCAATTTGCATTGGTTAATTACTTAAATGGTAGAAAACATCTTGTAGAACCGCATAATTGTTGAGCAAACAAGTGAACAATACTAAATCAAGTTACATCCTCGAACAATGTTTCTTCACAATCTTTACCATACTTCCGACTACTTGTACCCAACTCTCTACTACTTTCTTGATCTTTCCATCTAAAATCTCCACCAACGTAAAAGCTCTTATCGTGCCACCACTCTCAAGCTCCTCTGCTGCTCCAACCGGCCTCTCTTTAACCCTCGGGACTATTGCACCATTCACATAAACAATTTTGTTGTAACTATCTTGCACAACCATTTTACGGTTTCCTTTCCCACCATCAAACTCCTTATGCATGTGTCCAAACACAACTAAAGGAACAGACAGTTCCATCGTCTCTTTCAACTGGCGTAGTGCGTGCTCTAGATCTGTATCACCAAACCAAACCAAACCAAATCACTCTAGGGTAGTGAGTCTGAAGAATTAACAAAGATGGAAGCAACATTTACCTGGATCACCCTGGTCACCACCTTGGTCAGTCCAGTCTCTTCCACATATATCCTCAGCCTGAGAACCAAGACCTGCAAGAGAGAAAAACCACTAGTTAAAATCCTTATACGTTTAGACCGAAGACAATAGACCATTTAGAAAGCTTCCTAGGTTGATGATGCACCTGTTGGACCGTTATGCGCAAGGATTATAACGACACGATCTTCCGGTGTTCCAAATGCAGCTCGACAAATAGCCCCAGCACTTTCATCATATTACGAACTCCATATCTAGAAAATATTTTCTCAGTCTTTTGTTTAACCATGTTAGGGGTTTTCTTTAACAGGAATGACGAAGATGATTAACAAATGGGAATTAATAAATGATTTTATAAACCTTCACAGATGATTTTATAAAAGCATTTCTCAATTATTTATAAACTGTTGTAAATGATTCATTAACTTTTATGAATAATATATTAATTCCTATAAGTGTAGATACCTTATAAATGTTTTATAAACCCTTATAAATTATTTATAAACACTTATAAATGACTTATAAACTGTTATGGATAATTTATAAATCCTTATAAAATTATTTGTTGGGTATTGATTGTCTTTTATATATATTTACATCAAGTGATCATGTTTTAATCAATCTTTGTTGGTCAGTGATTGGTTACATCATAATGTTTATAAATTGACTTTGATTTATATGAGTTTATTAAATGACTTATAAGTGTTTATAAAGATATAAAATGATTTATAAAGGTTTGTAAGTTGACTATAAGAGTTTTAAACTGATTTATAAAGGTTTATAAGCTAATTTATTAATGTTGACTATGATAAAGACTTATACAATGATTATAAACTAAATTAGAAAGGCTTATAAACTAATTTATAAAAACTTATAACTAATTTATAAGGGTTTATAAAATCATTTATAAGGTTTGTAAAGGTTTATAAACTAATCTAATAAGGTTACTAAGTTAATGTATAAAAAGCTTATAAAATGATTCGTAAAGGTTTATAAGTTAATTTATAAGAGTTTATAAACTAATTTATAAAGGTTTATAAACTAATTTAAGGGTTTAGAAGTTGATTTATAAATCCTTATAAATGGTTTATAAATCATTACAAATGATTTATAAACTCTTATAAATTATTCATAAACCTTAATAGGCTGCATCGGCTTGTTTGTCTAAGCCGTAGCTGCTTAGCTGTGGGAGAAGGCTCAGCTCAGATAGGAGTGTAATTGCTGCTGCTGCGGTACAGGTCCTGTCCCATGATGGTTGTGGTCTGCAGGGTAAAAAGATCAAATGTAGAAATATAATCACTTTTGTGGAACAGAGAAGTTTTGAAACATGAGTAATATAGAGATATGAGAATGTTGTTACCTGAGTTTGTGCATTGCTGATGCACCTGTTGCAAGAGATATGCAAGGAAGATCTTCATCTCCCCATACTGTCTTTGCACGATCCTGCAGACGGGTCTTAGTGTATTAGCAAAAGAACAAACATGAACTCCATGTAAGTTATACCTTAAGACGCTTGAGCATTGCAGCTGAATTGTTCCAGGTGCCATCAAGCAAAATGAAATGCAAAGTTTTATCCTCATCTCTCTAGGAAATAGAAAGTAAAGCTATCAAAAGAAGACATTTCATTTTATATCCTTGTCAAACCAAACCTGAGAATTTTTATGTTTAACATACGCAATAAAACTCAAAAATAGAGAACCTATATATAACCCATGATGTTGTTAGTCATTACCATGGATGACCCAGGATTCTCTGAAGTGGAACTACCAAAAGCGTTCTCAACAGACAAGGTGAGTTCTGAGTTTTGGTTGGGATAGAGACAACATACATGGTTTTTTCCTGTGCATACATCACAACAAAACCAATTTAAAAAAAAAAAAATCCAACTGAACTAGCAGGGAACTAAGACTAGTAGAGTGAAACACCTGCGCGCTTAAACTCATTCCATATTCATCCCCACATCATCACCAGTGCTATTGAACGAAAAAAACATCACCAGTGATACAACTAAACCTCACATAAGCATTCTTCCCAGCGATTGTTGACTTAACACTCTGCAGCCTCGCAAATCTACTTGACCTGCATCCACAAAATCACTTCTTAGTTAATACATCCCCTTTATATAAAGTTTCAATCTTTTACATCAAATCAGCTTCCATGTAATTGCAAGCACATAGAAAGTCAAACCACACCTGTTAAACACAACGGAGGCGGAGGGGCGGGACAGGTGACGAGGCAGTGGTCTAAAGTTTCTATCGGCGGAATCGACGCGCGAGATGAAGGATTGGACGAAATTGATACTGAAGAAGCTGAGGAGCCAGATGAAGGAGGCGTTGAGGGCGACGATGGCGTCGAGCTCGGTGTTGGTGACGACGTGGAGAGGGGTGTTGTAATGGATCTTGTCGCGCCATCGGTGGAGGAGGTAGTAGGCTACGAGAAAAAGAGGACGAAGAAGACGGCGTCGATGAGGTTGAGTGGGAGTAGGACATTTAGGTCATTTACCCACTAATGATCTAGGTATTTATGAAAATGTCCCTTGAGTGGTGGTAAAGTTGAATTGTGGTACAACAAAAATGGTATTTTTGCAATTGTCCCTTTTTATATGGGTTAGTCTACATAATAGATGGTATATGAAGTTTAAATAAATTACTTAATAAAAATTAGAAATGATGCTCATCTACCATGGAAATAAGTTTAACATACATATAAATACGTTTTGGTGTGATTAATTTTAAATAAAACTAAAGAGATTAAATATTACAAATAGCATTTATCAGAAAATTCAGTATTTTCGTAGGGGTTAGCCCACATATTTCAAGAAAAATAAGAAAATATGAAAATTTTATTTTATTGCATAGCTACATAATGCACTGACATAGTATGAATATTAAAGAGGTTTAAGACCTTATATATTTCCATTTCTTTAGAAAATATAGATTTTATAGGGGTTATTCCACTTATTTGGTGTTATATGAAGTTTAAGTAAACTACATAATAAAAAATTAGAAATGATGCCCATCTACCATGAAAATAAGTTTACCATACATATAAAAAGGTTTTTTTTTGTGATTATTTATTCGTAAATAACACTAAAGAGATTAAAAATTACAGATAGCTTATATCAGAAAATTCAGTATTTCCGTAGGGGTTAGCCCACATGTTTCAAGAAAAATAAGAAAAAATGAAATTTTTGTTTTATTGCATAGCTACATCATGCACTGACATAGTATGAATATTAAAGAGGTTTAAGACCTTATATGTTTTCATTTCTCTATAAAATAGAGTTTTTATAAGGGTTAGTCTACTTAATAGATGGTATATGAAGTTTAAATAAATTACTTAATAAAAATTAGAAATGATGCTCATCTACCATGAAAATAAGTTTAACATACATATAAATACGTTTTGGTGTGATTAGTTAATTTTAAATAAAACTAAAGAGATTAAATATTACAAATAGCATTTATCAGAAAATTCAGTATTTTGGTAGGGGTTAGCCCACATATTTCAAGAAAAATAAGAAAATATGAAAATTTTGTTTTATTGCATAGCTACAACATGCACTGACATAGTATGAATATTAAAGAGGTTTAAGACCTTAGCTGTTTTCATTTCTCTAGAAAATAGAGTTTTTATAAGGGTTAGTCTACTTAATAGATGGTATATGAAGTTTAAATAAATTACTTAATAAAAATTAGAAATAATGACCATCTACCATGAAACTAAGTTTACCATACATATAAATACGTTTTGGTGTGATTAGTTAATTGTAAATAAAACTAAAGAGATAAAATATTATAAATAACATTTATCAGAAAATTCAATATTTTCGTAGGGGTTAGCCCACATATTTCAAGAAAAATAAGAAAATATGAAAATTTTGTTTTATTGCATAGCTACATCATGCACTGACATAGTATGAATATTAAAGAGGTTTAAGACCTTAGATGTTTTCCTTTCTCTAGAAAATAGAGTTTTTATAAGGGTTAGTCTACTTAATAAATGGTATATGAAGTTTAAATAAATTACTTAATAAAAATTAGAAATAATGCCCATCTACCATGAAACTAAGTTTACCATACATATAAATACGTTTTGGTGTGATTAGTTAATTGTAAATAAAACTAAAGATATTAAATATTACAAATAACATTTATACGGAAATTCAGTATTTTCATAGGGGTTAGCCCACATATTTCAAGAAAAATAATAAAATATGAAAATTTTGTTTTCTTGCATAGCTACATCATGCACTGACATATTATGAATATTAAAGAGGTTTAAGACCTTAGATGTTTCCATTTCTTTAGAAAATAAAGATTTTATAGGGATTATTCCACTTATTAGGTGTTATATGAAGTTTAAGTAAACTACATAATAAAAAATTAGAAATGATGCCCATATACCATGAAAATAAGTTTACCATACATATAAAAAGGTTTTTTGTCATTATTTATTTGTAAATAAAACTAAAGAGATTAAATATTACATATAGCTTATATCAGAAAATTCAGTATTTCCGTAGGGGTTAGCCCACATGTTTCAAGAAAAATAAGAAAAAATGAAAATTTTGTTTTATTGCATAGCTACATCATGCACTGACATAGTATGAATATTAAAGAGGTTTAAGACCTTATATGTTTTCATTTCTCTATAAAATAGAGTTTTTATAAGGGTTAGTCTACTTAAT